GAATCCCAGCCCTAGCAGGGAAGGCACAGAGTCCTAACCATTGGACCACAAGGAATTCCCACTCCTGAACCTTTAAATATTTTAGGATATGTTCCCTAAAAGCAAGGACATTATCTTTTACAACCAATATGAGACATTATAGGATATTATTATTCAATCTATGCTGCTGCTGTTAAGTCACTTCAGTCATGTCCGACTCTGCAACCGCATAGACGGCAGCCCACCAGGCTCCCTGTCCCTGGGATTCTCCAGGCAAGAACATTGGAGTGGTTTGCCATTTCCTTCTCCAATGCATGAAAGTGAAAAGTGAAAGTGAAGTCGTTCAGTCGTGTCCGACTCTAAGTGACCCCATGGACTGCAGCCTACTAGGCTCTTCTGTCCATGGGATTTTCCAGGCAAGAGTACTGGCGTGCCATTGCCTTCTCTCAATCTATAGTCCATGTTAAAATGCTTCTGATTTTCCCAATAATGCCCTTTGGAGCTATTTCCTCTGCTAGTCCAAGTCCAACCCAAGCCTGTGCATTGCACTTAATTGTCTTATCTCTAAAAAGTCCCTCAGCTTTCAGTATATCCTGTTTGGATTCTTCTGACGCTTTCTCATGAATATGTTGTGCATTTGTGTAGGTATACACTGTGGTATCTGCTTTGTTTACCCTATGTCTAGCTTCGGTAATCTTGATGCATCTGCCCTTGCCTGCATTTGCTGGATACACCTTGTCCTGAAAATATACCTGAGTCACCTTGCCTTGATCTCCTGCCTCCTCCAGAGTTGGGGGGTGGGGTTGGGGGCAGGGTGTTATGTTCAAATACAAGGACATTATCAAATACAAGGACTAACTATCCTATCCAAAACCTGCTTACCTGGCCTGTCTATTCCCTGTTCCTTCCTGTGGAAACAAAGTAAAGGTTCTTGCCCACAATTCCCTCCTTTTGCTCTCTGAGTGATGACTTTGGCAGTTGCCTGTATGGGTTCCAGGGTCCTGACTTGTATTCCCTCTTCTGGGATCTGTGAGTATAATAAACTGTCTTTTCAATGGCTATCTCCTGATCTGTTGACCTTAACATACCTAAGTAATGGTGGCTCAGATGGTAAAGAATCTGCCTACAATGCAGGCGACCAGGGTTCGATTCCTGGGTCAGGAAGATCCCCTGGAGAAAGGAATGGCAATCCACTCCAGTATTCTGCCTGGAGAATCCCCATGAACAGAGGAGCCTGGTGGGCTATAGTCCATGGGGTCACAAACAGCTGGACGTGACTGAGCGACTAACACACAACACACACACATTAAAACACCTGCCAGGTTCTAAACTTGTTACTATTACTCTAATTAATAAGTCGTTTAAGGAGAGATACTTCAAACTTTTTTGACTGAGATGCATAACAAGAAAGATAATTTACATAGTGGAATGTCTGTTTCACAAGAGTTTTGTGAAACAACACATATCCTCTCCATGTGAAAGTTATTTTAGTTTCTATTCTGTTCTATTTTATTTGAAAATAATTCTTGTCTGACCTACTATGTTGATTTCATAACCCTCTAATAGTTAATTACCTTTGTCTGAAAGCACTAGTCTGGTAGAAGTATCACTTGGATCATCTGCTTGTGGAATGGAAAATAGATGTGCCAGGGCAGACTGGCAGCAAGAACCCCATTATAAGGATCTAGCCATAATTCAGGTGAGAGAGTTGTGCTACTGGCAATGAGACTGAGAAAAATGGGTGAGTTTGATTTGAGAAGAAGTGATTGGATTGAGGAACTTGTCCATGGAGTACAGAAGAGAAAAGGGTCAAAAAGAACAATTTCACAGACTTCCCTGGTGGTCCAGTGGCTAGCACTCCAAGCTCCCAATGCAGGGGGCCCAGGTTTGATCCCTGGTAGGGGAACTAGATCTCATAAGCCACAACTAAAAAGATCCAATGTGGTGCAATTAAGGCCCATCACAGCAAAATAAAAATAAATATTTAAAAAAAATGACAATTTTAGCCTTGGCCTGTGGGGTGGATGGTGGCGCCCCTTACTGAGATAAGAAACACTAAAGGTTTATAGTTCAGGCTCCATCATGCTAAGTTTGAACTCTTATGGACATTAGATTTAAACTGTTCAGTGAACAGTTAGCTCTGTGGCACCAAGAGGCAAATCTGGGTTAGATTATTAGCAAGCTGGAGTTGGACTGTACTCAAGAAGTTTTTCCACTTCATGTCCACTACAGGAAGCAGAAGTTAAGTCAGAATAGTAACAAATGCTTTGAAAATATTACCAGTAGTTTGGCATTGAGATGCATAATAAAATAAAGTCAAGAATATATTTAGGAAATCAATGAATACAAATTTAGTAGAATAAATTTCACTTTTCAGCACCTTCCTCTCTTTTGGTTAATGACACTGTAAAGTATATATGTATAGATGTAGAGAGAAATGTGGAACATAAAGAGATTTTGCATTATATAGAAACTTGCGTTACATAGAAACAGTGCTGCCGTAAATCAAAACTGAGCTAGCCTGCGCTTTCCCGGATGCTAGTCCTTAGATTTAATCCCCCAAATCTAGCAACAGGCATTCTCAGGTATTGATACCGAGATAAAAACTGGCGCACGGTGCAGGCTGTAAAAAGATGTCTGGTTTTAAGTGGCCCGAATTTGGTAGTGCACTGAAAAATTGGTGTTTTCTAGGGGAAAAGAGGGTGGATGTGCGAGTGTACACACAGGGTCGGGAATGATAGGCAGTGTTTCGTTATTGGTCCCTCACCCTCCATCCCCACCCCTTCATCTGCTCCCCTCCCTCCCGTCCTCCCTCCATTCTTCCCCGCTTCTCTGGCGTTTTTCTGGGATTAACGGCGGGGTCGGCCCATACACAAACGCAGCTGGTTCGTACGGTCAGCCTGAGCCCTGCTGTGCAACCACGTCAGGAATTCCAGTAAGTTGGCAACACCGCAGCACAAAGACAGCAACAATGAGGGAAACCCTTCAGTGCAGAAAGGAATGTTTGGAGCCCGCGCTGCTAAACAGAGAAAGGACGCAGACGCCGCCCCCACGCCCGCCCCCTCGCCCCCGATCGCGCCTGCGCTCCCGCTCCCGCACCTCCAGCTCCCCACGCGCGCCCCGGGCGGACGCAGCCTCTCCGGCGCCCGCGGTGCCCCCACCCGCGCACCGCCTGCGGCGCGCGCCTCCCCAGAGCCCGCAGCGGCTCTTTGTAACTGTGGTGCGGGGACGCTCATGACTATGCTGGGCGGCCCCGGCCGGCGTCGGAGTGCTCTGACCCCGGCGCGGTCTCGTACCATCGCCCCGGCCGCCCGGAACCGGCATAAATCACCCACCGAGACGAAAGTGCAGCTTCTCGCTGCCTCCCTCCTCCCGCTCGCCCCGTCCCCTTGACTTCCCAGCCCCCCATGCCTTTCGGGTCCCCAATCCTGCCTCCTCCGCGGCGCCGCCCAGCGCCAGACGCTGCGCAGGGAGGCTTGCGCCCCAGTGACTTCGGTCGGAGCCGAGAACTCTGGATTTCCAGTTCTTGAGAAGAAAGCCGCTAAATCTCTCCCGCCCCTGCTCGCACCTTACTCTTTTTTAAGTCAAAGTTTTCTCTATCTGGGTCTGTTTCTCTCGTCTTGTCTTTCAAAAATAATATCTATTTCCCCTTCCCCCTCCCCTCAAAGCTTCACCAACCACTAAAGCCCGGACTGTTTGGGGTCAGTAGAGTTCTACAGAGTCTCAAGATCCAGGCTCGGGGAGAAGGGGTGGCAGTCTCTGGGTTGGGGACTACGTGGGTGCTGGGCTGTCGTCTTGATGGCCACGGCTCCTCTGGCTGAGAAAGGACTCCTGACTCCCTGGATCAGGGCCTGGCTCCGGGGTGAGGAAATTTCGGGGTGACCCTGGCTTAGAAACGGTTCCTTCTCACACAGGGCTCCACGTGGCCAGCAAAGAGGTTGCACGGACCCTCCTTTCTGTGGGCACTGGAGCCACGTATCGGCTAAGAACGATGCTCTTTAAGTTTCTCTCACAGTGTTCTTTGGGGCTCCCTCCTCCAGTCCCCGCCAGCCGGGCTAACGCTGCCCCCAAGAAAGGAGCGGCGGGATTTTCTGAACCCCTTTAGTTTCTCCCTCGCATAAAGGGGCACCTGCACCGTCGAGAAGACGTTCATTCTTTCAGTTTTGCTTCAAAATGGTCAGCTTTGTAAGAAGCACGATCTGGTCGTGACACCTGTAGACGTGGTGCTTGAGAAAATTTCAACAAGGATCCGACGCGCCCCCATCGCCCCAACATTGATCTAACTCCCCCCGTAACTCGTAAAAACATAGAGCACGCCAAACGCTACAGGGGAAACCTGTAACTCAAGTTTGTAACCTCAAACTCCAAGGGAGCTTGAGGATTGTAAGCTAGAGAATAAAATAGTCACAAATCTCGAGCAAGCTCTCCATTTCTTTTTCCCCTTCCCTCCTCTTCCTTATTTTCCCTTTTCAAAAACTGTATAGGTGGCCGACATCCGTGTGGACCGCCTAGCCACCTTCTGTGCGGAAGCCAGTCCTGCCCGCGTGTGATCGTGTCAGTGTGAGTGTGTGACGGTGATAAGCGTGTGTGCGCGTGTGAATGAGCGTGTGTACCTGGGACGTGTGCGTGCACGTGTGAGCGGGTGCGTGTGCGCGCGCGGCTGTGTCTGTAGGAGTGCATGCGTGAGAGTGCACGCGTGTGTTCGGGTCCCGACTCCTCCCGCAGCTGCAAAGTGCAGGGGGCGGGCCGGGCGGCAGGGGGCCTGCCCCGTGGGATTCCCGCAGGCTAGTTCCGGGGCGGGCGGGTCTAAAGGGCTTTATGCACGGTCTGGAGGGTGGGGACTGGCGCGGGTAGAAAACGCGATTCCTTGTGCGCGGGTCCCGGCTTTCTGCCACTAGGAGTCCGCGGAGGTGCGGCCCTGAAAGAGCGCTCCCCAGTGGAGGCGCTGCAGTGCCGAGTGCGACGCGCGCCCACCTCCCGGGGAAGGAACGGCGAGGCCGGGGACCCGGACAGTCGCGGGGATGGAGCGCTGGGCGGCGGCGGCAGCGTGCACGCTGCTGCTGGCTTTCGCCGCCTGCCTGGCGCCGGCCAGTGGCGGAGGTAAGCGCCCACCGGTCCGAGCTCCGCGAGGAGTGCGGGACTTCCCTGGCTGCGGCAGGGTCGGGTCCGCGGGCGAGCGGAGGGGGCTGCGGCCGGCAGAGGCCGGGAGCGGGAGGCGGCCGGACAGCTCCCTGTGGGGCACTCAGGTTGCCCTGCGTGGGGCCAGCAGGAGCGCCCCTCCTTCGCCCGCCCCGGCAGTGAGCTGTCCCAAACTTGAGAAAGAAGCCACTGCGGTTTCGGTGACAGCACACCCCACAAGGACCCCGCCTTTGTTCCCACGGAGGTTTGTCCCAACCCTCCTGGAAGGTACTTTGCTGCTCTCCCCGTGAGTCCGCTGCCGGCTCCCCGCGCTGGTTTCTTCTCTCCCGGGCCAAGCAGTCCTGCGCGCTGCTCCGTGCGCAGTTTTCCACCTGCAGCTCCCTGCCGGGGAATCCCTTCGCGCGCCCAGGCTGCGGGCTCGAGCACCTCGCTTCTTTGCAGCAGCGAAACTTGGTCTCGCCGTGACCCCCAAGAGACCGCATCTCGATAAAGATCATTCACTAGTCGAGATAAGGCTGGGAGGTGGGATTGGCTGATACGCTGCAGCATTTTCTTGAAGGGTTTCCCTTTCCAGCCGGGAAGTGGAGGCTTTTGTGTTGATGAATGGGGCTCGTCTGCGCGGCCAGAGTTTTGAGGGCTCGAATGGAGAAAGTTTCTGCGATGAAGCGCTGTAAACTTCTCTCAAGTTGTCGGGAGAGTTTTAGTTTTTTACAGGAACGGAGGCAACGGAAAGAGGAGGAGGGAGTAGGGGAGAGAATAAAGGGAGTAGGAGGGGAGGAGGAGAGAAGACTAGTAGAGAGTAAAAGGGAGAGAAGGAGGGGAAAGAGGGAGATCGGGGGCTGGGGTCGGGGAGAAGGAGAGAGAGAGAGGAAGCTAGGGATGAATGGGAGAGGCTAGGAGGCAGGGGAACAAGCGAGCTCTCTCCCTGGCTTTGCGTTGCTAGGTAGCAGCGAAGAGCTGCGTGTGACCGACCACCAGACAGACGGAGCGGACGCTGCTCCCTCCAGGGGCACTAATCTGTCTGTGCGGATGGGAGACCACCCTCTCCCCTCCCCCCCCACCCTTTCCTCCCGCTCCTTCCTTCTCGGACAACTTAATTGCCCTACAAAGAAAATGAAACCCCTATTGTTGTAGGATTAGCCAAAGCAATAAATTGATTTCCCTGGATCACATATTAGGGTTGAAGAGTGGAGACTGCAGAAGCCCCCATTTATGGCAGAGAGAGGGATGGGCCAGTGGCATGTATTCAAACGGTTAATCTGCTTTCTTTCCTCAATTCTTAGAGTAAGCTCCTTAGAGGGAATCAACTAAGTAATTATACAGCAACTCCTAGCAGTACACATTGCAGACTTCCTGGGAAGAAGTTTGGAAACGCCGACAAACCTCACTGGTCGTGTAAAAATCTTTGGAAAAGGAGGGGAGGCAGGAAGAGAACGTTAATAATTCTAACTTTGAAAATCTTTTCTCAGGGTTGGTAACAGAAAAAGAGAATTTATTATTATTGTGGAGGGTTTGTCCTAAATATAGCCACAAGTTTTACTATATGTTCCTGTCAGTGCCTGGCAAAAGGAAATCTTGTCTGGATTAAACTGGGATACATCTGGGTTGTCCACATAAAACGCAAACAGATGTTCTCATCCCTTTGTTAATGTCTTAGTCACCAAATGACCTGTACTTACTCTTCTTGGTAGTTCAGACCCATCCATCTTTCATTCTATAATAATAATAGGTATAGTATATATCATATGATGTATATATCATATACTTATATGTGGCAGGCCCTGTTCTAAGTATTTTGCACTTGTTGAAATTTAGGCTTTATCATGCCCCTTTTTAAGTAAGCACTCTTACTGTTTCTGTTTTACAGATGGGAAATGAAGGCATAGACCAGTTAACTTCCTTAAGGTCATATGGCTAGAAAATCACTGTGAGACAATTCCCAGAGATTCTGATTCCAGAGGCTTTAACTAAACTGCTCTAGTATATGGCTCTTTTGTACCAGAAATGTCATACCCCTTTAGTTACTGTCCACATGTGAAGTTACTAAAGAAGCCAAGGGACTTTCTGCAAGTCTTTGCCACATACTGTAGAATTTGCTTGCTGCTCATAACTGGATATTTCCAGAAACTCAGGTTTCTATCCTCACTCTCAGTCTTCCCACTTGATCATTTTTACATACATGTCCTCTGAATATTGTCAACCTGGGGGTTTAAGAAGATTTCCAGATTTCTGTTGTAATGATTTTTGACTTAGATGAAGAAGTATGATGACATTGTAAATGCCCTTATTTTAGCATAAAATATTTTAGGTAAGATCATCCTGCAAACTGCATATCATTAGAAACTGGGAGAGTGTTTTGCAGTTAGTCCTTTAAAAAATATTGCGTATCTGTGGCTAGAAATTATTTGCACTGCCCTCTATTTTGCATAATGCTTTTAAAAAAATGCAGGAGCGCCTGAAGCAATGGCTTCACCTCATTCTAGCTGTATGACCTTGCAGAAGTCCTTTAACTTTGCATGGCTCAAACTGCTTATCTGTAAAACTGGTATGATAATGGGAGAATCTATTCTGTGACATTTTATGAACATAAAGTGGTAAGTGTGCCTTAGCATAGTGTAAGGCATTATAGACATGATCATAAACTAATAGCTCTTTTTATTACTTTGATTCATAATACCTTTCCTTGCTTAACTGATCATATTTCTAATTTCAAAATGCACATGAAAATATCTTTATGTATTTTCCACCTAACATTTCTCTGAAGAATTCCCAGATTCCAGGATGTGATTTGAAGTTTTTCAGAAAATGTTATGGTTTCTCAGGACAATGATATTCTTTCATCCAATAGAAGTTTGATTGTGCCCTTAATAGGATCAGGTTTTATGACAATTATGTCTTTGGGTACAGTTTATATGCTTAAAAGGGTTGTGTGGCCAGTAGCAAACAGGCAACATTTTGGTTCTATCACATCTCTATTATCTGCTGCTGCTTTTATTTCACAGCAGTTGGTTTTTCTTTCTCTTACTGAAGTTCTTCCTTGCCAGTCTTTGGGGCTTCTGCTTAAACTTCCTGTCCCTGCCCTATTTTAATATAAACTATTATAACCTTAAATATATATCTTGGACTGCTTGGCATTATTTTATAGCTAAGTAACTAAACCCTGGAGGGAGACTGAAAGGAGTGGAAGGGTGGGGATTAAATGCCCTACCTAAGGGCTTGTGTGATAGAGCCAGGGTCTGAACCTGAGACTCCTCATTCTGCTACAGGACCTTTTTTAGATGCATGTCCTCTACCTGTCCCCACATTGAGATCTCTAGATTCCTTTTGTGTTGATCCTGACTTATCAGATGAGGCAAAGCATGATGAAAAGATGATCTTGACGAATCTTCAGTTGGTGGGTCACCTGTCTCAGGCCTAAGCTGAATCTTATGATAGATTAATATAACCATGTGTTTTTAGCTTGATCCAGAACTCCCAAGTGATGGCATCTGGTCCCATCACTTCATGGGAAATAGATGGGGAAACAGTGGAAACAGTGTCAGACTATTTTTTTGGGCTCCAAAATCACTGCAGATGGTGATTGCAGCCATGAAATTAAAAGACGCTTACTCCTTGGAAGGAAAGTTATGACCAACCTAGACAGCACATTAAAAAGCAGAGACATTACTTTGCCAACAAAGGTCTGTCTAGTCAAGGCTATGGTTTTTCCAGTGGTCATGTATGGATGTGAGAGTTGGACTGTGAAGAAAGCTGAGTGACAAAGAATTGATGCTTTTGAACTGTGGTGTTGGAGAAGATGCTTGCAAGGAGATCCAACCAGTCCATCCTAAAGGAGATCAGTCCTGGTTGTTGATTGGAAGGACTGAGGCTGAAACTCCAAAACTTTGGACACCTCATGTGAAGAGTTGACACATTGAAAAGACCCTGATGCTGGGAGGGATTGGGGGCGGGAGGAGAAGGGGACGACAGAGCATGAGATGGCTGGATGGCATCACCGACTCGATGGACATGAGTTTGAGTAAACTCCGGGAGTTGGTGATAGACAGGGAAGCTTGGCGTGCTACGATTTATGGGGTCGTGAAGAGTTGGACACGTCTGAGCGACTGGACTGAACTGAGAATTCCCAAAGTCTGTGCCTCTGGATCCATTTTTAAAAATTGTGGACCATCAGAGCACATTTCTGAAGAGCTGATATAACCCAGATATTAATAGTTTTAATCTATTAATTTTGTGATCTTGAGGAATTAAGAAAATTTTTACACTGTGGCAATCCACAAACATTTATTAATAAGCATCTACAGTGTGCTAGTAAGACAGCAGTATCAATATAACAGAAAGGTTAAGGACGATGAGAACTGAAAAGGGGAGTCTAGATTCTACAGTTAAAATGAGCTGCAACTTTGTGTTTAAAATTCTGAGATAGTCATTTTCTAGTTCCTCATAACTCTGGCTAGGATTTCACCAATATTAGATTTGACGCATTCCAGCCTCAGTGTTTTGGGCTGCTTTTAGAATGATCAGATTGGTGATGTTTTGAAATGTCAGAGATATTTCTTTGATGCTTCCCATGTTTTATAAAGGGCCTGTACAAATGTTTCCTAATTGATTTCTTGACCATCTTAGCATTGTGAGACAAAGTAGGAAAAGTGTGAATTTGGGGATTAGAGGATTTGGATTTGAAAGTTGCCTCTGCCATTTTCTATCTGGGAAATTCATTACAACATGCTCAACTGCTCTGGGTTGGTTTTATCTATAAAACGGGCACATATTTACCTCATAGGGTCGTTATGCCAGTTAACTGAGAAGAGTGTGAAATTCTTTTTAGACTGTGAGGTCTCATGTATTTCTATCCATCATGACTTCCGTTTTCAAGAATTTAACTTCTATCATGTCAATGTATGGCAAAAATCACTACAATATTGTAAAGTAATTAGCCTCCAACTAATAAAAATAATTGGGAA